TTTGCCTTGCGCGTCGGGCCCCCGGACCCTGCCGGAGAGCGCGCGCGGGGGGGGGGGTGCTCCCCTGCTCCCCTGCTCCCCTCCGCGTCGGCGACGCTCCACAGGCAAAAACGTTTTTTTTGCCTGTGGTGCTTTTTTTTTTTGCCTTGCGTGTCTTTTTTTGCCTTGCGCGTAATCTCTGGTGCTCCTCAGGGGGCGGACGGAACCCAATCTGCTTTCAACGTCTTCCTTCTGCATGTTTCTACCTACTTCATCCGACCGATGGGTAACGACTATTTCCTCCTCCTCCTCCTCCTGTCTCCTCCTGCCGTGATACGTTGGCCAGGTTTTCACCTGACAGGATGTAGCGCCGAGCACCTCGAATCCAACGCGTGAGCAACGTGCACCATTCGGATGCGCAAAGAGAAGCGAATCAGGTGGGACGTCTAGAGAGGCATCAGTTGGCGATGCAAGGCCCTCCTCTTGCTCCACCTTATCCTCGCTCCTGCTCGCTCCTCCTGCTCCCTCATCCTCTTCTACCATCCTCCCTCTCCTCCTCCCTCCTCCCCCTGGGGCGGCCGCGATGGTATGGCAAGAAGTCCAAGCCTCTGGCGAGTGGAAACGCCAATCGCGCCGAGCCTTTTCGGCACACACTCGGCCTGGACGGCTTCCGCCGGGGCCGTAGGCGACCCGAGGAGGGGAGGGCGAGAAGGGGGAGGAGGAGGAGGAGGAGGAGGAGGAGGGGGAGGAGGAGGAGGAGGAGGAGGAGGAGGAGGAGGAGGAGGGGACGAGGAGGAGGAGGAGGAGAGAGGAGGACGGGTCGCCTAAGCCCTTCGGAGAAATCCTCCAACTCGGCCTCCGGGAGCCGCACTCCCGGGCCCCGGGGGCGTCAGAAAAAAAACGGCCTGGGGCGGAGAACGTGTCCATGGGGAAGGGGTCGAGAGGTCCAGGCCTCAGGTCCGGCGACTCGAGAAAGTCACATCGACAGAAGACTGGGAAGCGAGTGGAATCGCAGGGGCCTCCGCCGTCCTCGTCCACCTCCTCCATCTGATCCTACTTGCTCTTCCTCCTCCCTCTTGCTCCTCGTCCTCGTTCCTCGCTCTTCCTCCTCTCTTGGTTCCTCCTCTTCAGTTCTTCCCCACCATCCTGCTCTGTTAGGCCCTTGTTTTGAATTCACATCGCCTCGTGTCTTCCTCCTGCTCCTTCCCCTCTTCCTCCCCCTCCTCTCCTCTCGCTTCTGCACTCCGCGCGTTCTCATCGTCGTCGTCGTCGTTGTCCCTCCTCCTCCTCCTCCTCCTCACAGCCACCACCACCACCATCACCACCACTCTACAACCATCATCATCATCATCATCATCATCATCAGCATCATCATCACCACCACCATCACCATCATCAGCATCATCATCACCATCAACGTCATCATCATCAACATCATCGTCATCGTCATTCTCATCACCGTCATCATCATCATCATAATCATCATCACCATCATCGTCATGATCGTCATCATCATCAACATCATCATCATCACCATAGTCATTATCATCACCATCATTATAAACATCAACATCATAAGCACCACCATCATCAACATCATCATCGTCATCAGCATAATCTCAAGCATCACCTTCACTACCATCACCATCATCATCATCATCATCATCATCATCATCATCAATGTGATCATCATCACCAATCATCGCCACCATCACCATTATCACCACTGTCGTCATCGTCATCATCATAATCATCATTATTACCATTATCAGCATAATCACCACCGCCATCATGACCATCTCATCATCGTCATCGTTATCGTCATCCTCCTCGTCCTTCTCGTCCTCCTCATCACCATCATCGTAAATCATCACCATCGTCGTCATCATCACCACCGTCGTCATCGTCATCGTCATGATCTTCACCAGACTCATCATCATCGTCGTTACCAGCATCGTTGTTATCATCATCGGCATTATCATCATCACCATCGTCACCATCATCAGCCACAGCAGCAGCATCACCACCGCCACCACCACAACCATCATCATCATCATCATCATCATCAGCATCATCATCATCATCATCATCATCATCATCATCATCATCTCTTCATCGTCATCGTCATCGTCATCGTCATCATCGTCATCATCGTCATCACCATCGCCATCGCCATCGTCATCACCGTCAACACTGTCATCACCATCGTCATCATCACTGCGACCACCATCACCATTCTGGCACACCCCTCAAGCACTACTGGGACTGGGCCGTTTCGTGCGTTCTGGGGCCCGAAAAGCCGAGACCAGATCACACGAACATCTGTACACAACATCCAATTGTTTCTGCTTCTGGGGGTCCGCGCGCGCGTAGGGTCTAGTCGGTTCCGAAGGCACCGTCGATCTAGGGCATGCGTCCCAGGATGCCAAGACAGAGGCCTGCTGGGCGCAGACCACGTTTCCCCCCCGTGGGTGTGCTGGACCTTTTCGGGGGCAACTTCGGATTCTGGGGTCGGGTGCGGGGCCGTCCGAGAGCGCCGTGGGACGTTTCGGAGGGCTTCAAGAGATGATGTTGATGATGTGGTGATGGCGTGCTGCTGATGATGATGGTGATGGTGATGCTGATGATGGTGATGATGCTAATGATGATGGTGCTGATGATGATGATGATGATGACGACGACGGTGTTTTTGATGATGATGCTGGTGCTGCTGCTGATGATGATGCTGATGCTGATGCTAATGATGATGATGATGATGATGATGATGATGATGATGATGATGATGATGATGATGCTGATGCTGCTGCTGCTGCTGATGCTGATGCTGATGCTGATGCTGATGCTGCTGATGAGGATGTTGTTGATAATGCTGTTGTTGTTGATGTTGATGGTGATGGTGAGGATGATGCTGCTGCTGATGCTGCTGCTGATGATGATAATGCTGATGCTGGCAATGATGATGATGGTGATGCTGATGATGATGATGCTGATGCTGATGATGTTGATGCTGGTCACGATGTGTTCTTCCAGAGCGCCGTGGCACGCGTCGGAGGGCTTCAAGGTTTCCCTAGAGCGCCCAGGCAACTGCCAAAATGGCCGAGGAGACTACCAGAAGAGCCGGGCCGACAGGCCGCCTGCACCGCCGCCGCCGCCGCCGCCGCCGTATGCGGACGTCCTATGGACGTGCCTGCGCGATGTGGGCGCGGCTAGCGATTCTGTGGCCTGCGGGGGCCTCCGCAGGCCTGCGGATGCCGGTTGTCTCATCAGGGCGAGGGTGCCCCAACTGTCTTGCTTCATCCCTGGGCGCGCGCGGCCGTTGTGGGCCCGGGTCTGCTCGACCGGGGGGCCTCTGGGCGGGGAGTCCTGGGCGGGGGGTCTCGGGCGGGGGGTCCTTGGCGAAAGCTGTCTGCGCCGCCGCGCCCACCCTCTTGTCCCAAGTGCGGGGTGCTACGCATTCACACACACACACACGCACCGTGGTCGTCAACATGGCAACTAGCTGCAACAACGGCGCTTGCATCAGTTCTGGCTTCAGAACCAGGCTGGACAAAACGAGCGGGCATCCACCTCACTCGGCACGGCTTCCATCAGCACCAGCTCGGCTTCAGATGGTGCGAGGGCAACCTCCTGGCCCTGCTCTCTCATGACATTGCCTCGGAACAGCGCGCCCGCGCAAGGGAAGGCGCGCACGCCTCTCGGCGTGTGGCTGGATCGTTGTGTCTGCGCAAGTTCGGAAGCCCTTGCCCTGCGGGGGCTGGGAAGCCATGCTGGCAGAGGAAGGAACATGATGATGATGAGGAGGAGGAGGCTAGCCCAGGGGGAATCAGCAGTAAGGGGAGAGGCCGCTCCACCGACTCCAGCAGAACGGACCGAGGAGGAGGAGGAGGAGGAGGAACCGAATAAGGAGGAGGAGGAGGAGGAGGAGGAGGAGGAAGCGGAGGAGGAGGAGGAGGAGGAAGAGGAGCAGGAGGAGGAGAGGAGGAGGAGGAAATGGAGGAGGAGGAGGAGGAGGAGGGGAGGAGGAGGAGGAGGAGGAACTGGAGCAGGAGGAGGGGGACATGGAGGAGGAGGAGGAGGAGGAGGAACTGGAGGAGGAGGAGGAGGACATGGAGGAGGAGGAGGAGGAGGAGGAGGACATGGAGGAGGACATGGAGGAGAAGGAGGAGGAGGAGGAGGAGGAGGAGGAGGAGGAGGAGGGGGTGGAGGAGGAGAAGGAGGACGGCCACGAGGAGCAGGGACGAGGACGAGGAGGAGCAGGCAGAGGCCGGGCCCGCCCGACCCTGCGGCCCTCCGAGGGTCGCTAAAGGCTTAACGACTTCTGCCGTCCTTCGACTCGCGCTAGAGCGGCCGCAACTTGCTACAACTGTCCCTGAAGGTCTCTGGATTAACCTGGACGTACCTGGATTTACCTTGACTTATTTGCATTTGCCTGGATTTGTCTGCGTCTGCCCGGATTTATCTGGCTTGGTCCCCACAAGTCGATTGGCGAAAAGTCGTCAAGCCCTTCGGGAGAGGGGCGGCCTCCGCACCGCCACGGCGAGCAGTCCTCGGTCATCTGCCTGCTCCTCCTCGTCTTCGCCCTTGCTCCTCGTGGCCGTCCTCGTCCTCCTCCTCTCCCTTCTCCTCCCCCTCCTCGTCCTCGTCCTCCTCCTCCTCCTCCTCCTGCTCCTCCTCGTCCTCCTCGTCCTCCTCCTCGTCCTCCTCCTCCTCCTCCTCCTCCTCCTCCTCCTCCTCCTCGTCCTCTAGCTCCCCGAGGGGCGGCCTCCGCACCGCCGCGGCGAGCAGGCCCTGGTGCACGAACGACTGCTCGGCCAGCGCCCGCGCCAGCCTGCAGGCGCCCCCCGGCGCGAAGGCGCCCAGCCCGAGGCCCAGGCCCCCCTCGGCCACCTGAGGAGGAGGAGGAGGAGGAGGAGGAGGAGGAGGAGGAGGAGGAGGAGGAGGAGGAGGAGGAGGAGGAGGAGGAGGAGGAGGAGGAGGAGGAGAGGAGGATCCCACGCCACTGAAGGGCGCGCGTCTTTGTCTAGGCCGCGCCGGCCGCGCCGCCGCTGCCGTCGGCCCCCGCGGGGCCAGTCCTCAGGTCCGCTACCATGGCAAGCTCCAGGTTGAAGACGCAGGGGCGGGAGGCCGTGCTCGCATCGCCGACCAACCCCACCATGTACTCAGCCACAGGCGCGTCCTCCACGTTAGCCACCGATGAGGACCCGAAAGAACCAGAGCCATCATCCGTAGGCCCCACCTCACCCTCATCACGACGGCCAGGAGTCATCTCCTTGTAGTTGCTGCCCTTGTAGTCCTTGTTGTTGCTGTCCTTGCGGTAGCTGTCCTTGTAGTTGCTGTCCTTGTGATTCCTCTTCTCCATCGCGCGGAGCTTGGACTCGACCAGAACTCCCATGGTCCACACCACCATCAGAAACACCATGGCGTCCAGCGCCTTCCACCTGGAGCGCAGCATCACCTGCTAGTGGTACTTGGTCACGTCCACCACTCAAACGATCCACATCTTCGCGAGGAGAAGGCACAACATCACTTGGGAGAGGCACAGGACCTTCACCAGCCTCACCTTCATGAAGTGCACCGCTACAAGGCAGATCAGCTGCAGCACCACCTTGACTGCCACCACCACCAGAGCACTTGGCGTTCCCACCGTCTTCGTCACAGTGGCCTTCACCATCACCTTGATATGCCGCATCTTCGGCAGGTAGTACTTGTCCACAACCTGAAAGCCCGTGGTCCAAACAATCTCGCGCAGGGAGCACGCCACCGAGAAGGGGAAGCGCAGGGTCTTCCGCGGCATGGTTATTTGTGTCGTGGCCACAGCTTCCACCACCATGAAGATCATAAACATCACTTTCCGTAGGAACATCATCATCCACACGAAGTAAGCCCATTGCCCTCGAGGGAGAACTGCCACGATTGCCCGCGCCAAATGCATCCACGCCCGCTTCCGCTTTCACTGTTCCAGCATGTAGACCAAGAAGGCCCTCACCAGTCATCATGCCCACCTCGACGGAGGGCTCCACGTTGCTGTCGTTGTCGCAGTTGGAACCTCGTTGACCAGGGCGTGCTCCTTGAGGCGCAGCAACTCCTGCAAGAGGTACTTGAACATGACCAGAACCCTCCTGACCCGCACTAATCAGAGGTGGGTGCTCACCAACGTCAGAAAATAGTGCAAGCGCTTCATATCCAGCTTCTCCGTGACCGAGACAACTACCTCCTGGGAGGGCATCAGCTTCATCATCATCGGGTCCGACTCCAGAACTTTGCGGTGCGAGCGACGAGATCGATGGACGACGACCATCATTTCCAGAGCCAAGTGCATCCTTCCCAGCTTCCTTCGAGGAGCGTCCCACAGGACCAGTGCCAGCATCCGTGGGCCCCAACTCACCCGCACCAAAGTTGCTATAGCCTACCATATGAGGGGCAGCATCTTCTGCTGGAGGTACTTGGGTATGACCAGACCACCCACGGTCAACATCATCACAAGGAGGACGCACGCCTCCGCCAAGGATAGCCGTATACGCATCAACGGAACACCCAGACTCTCCACCTCCCGAGCGATTATCATCTTCCCTTTCACCAAGAACGCCATCAGCATCATGTGATACGGCAGCGAGGGTCGGTGGAGGGGCGCGAACTCCGCCCAGGCTGAGAGTGTCCACACCGGCCTCCTCCACCACTGCACCAGAATAAGGAACGTAGAGACCATGACCGTCGGCAGCTGGGAGAAGAAAGCAGCAGGGTGACGAAGCATCCAGTCAACCTCGATGTATTTGTCCCTCGTCAACTTGGGGAGCAAGTGGTGAAGCAGCCGCAGAGCCTGCCACCTTTGATGTTCCGACAGTTCAGCAAACGTCACAAGATGGGACTCCCAATGTCCATGTGGTCGCTCACGCTGAAAGCCGATCGGGTACGACGACCAGCACGAGGTAACCGCCGATCCATACATCTGGTTCGAACTTGCAGGTAGAATCGCTGGCACCACAATGCAGACCGCATGCGCCGTGTTGGGATCTAAGGCGTGCCCATCCACCTCGCCAACACATATAGGGATGTGCCCACAGCGTTCACCTAGCAAGAACGCGATGCCCCCCGCTGCAAACGCTCGTTGAATCGTAAGAACCTGCAGCTCGAGTTCAGCCTGATCCCTCGGTTCGTGACCTTGGAGCCCCAATACAGCCTGACAAAGTGCGGCAAGCCCATCCTCGCCACCAGCCTGCGCAAGGTCTGTCTCTACCACATGAAAATGCGCAGCATTTCCCGCAGAAGTGCCAGCAGGCAGTATCTGGTTCTGTAATTCAACAGCTTGCCCCGATAGACCAAAATCATGAGATGAGGAACCCGCGGAGCATGGGAGATCGGGTTCATGGGTGGGTTGAGATGCATCCTGAGCAGGGACCGCGCGCACCGCCAGCGACTCGGCAGAACCGTCGGCCACATAGCGATCATCAAGAACATCATCTGACTGCTCGCCATTATTGACTCGATCAATGCATTCAGGACTGTGCCCAGTAGCCGCTGCCTGTGCCAAAATCTCCGTGTACACATCCTCCTGGTCCGATTCCGACTCGGGACTCAACCACGAATGAATGTCGTCCTGAGGCAGGTCCTCGATCATGTCGCTAGGGGCATCAAAAGCTTCAGCCAACATCAACTCGTCGAAGTCCGTAGGGGCGCTATCGTCAAGGACCACGTCAAGGTCGAGAGGAGGACAGCCAGGACCTCCACCAGTCTCTTCTAAGAGCCCAGACGGATGGCTGAGCAACCAAATCACCAGCCCCCTGTGGTCCGCTGACAACACGTAATTCGCATCCAGATAGTCGATTGCCCGCTGGAGCTGGACAAGCGTGAGAGATTCTTCCCCTCTCTGTCCAGGGACTCTAAGCATTCCAGATTCAGCCAGCACAGCGTAGACAAAAGAGCTGACCGAGCGTAAGGTAGGAAGCCAATCAGTATCGTTCCTACTACCAGACGTCGGCACGCCATCATCAGCGGAAGGGTCTGGAGGAGTTGCCACCGAGGGAGGAGGTGGCAAAGTGCGAGTAGGTCGCCCAGCCGCCCCTGAATCCTCAGCATTAGTAAAGGCAGAGGCACCACACCCTGTCCCAACAGGATAAATCGCCTCAAACCCATGCTCCGCCATCAGACGACCGAAGTTCCCAACTGACGAGCTGGAGTCAAACACTTCATTTTGCACATGCCCATCATCCTGTAAATGCGGCGAGCGAAGAACCACTGGGGACTGGGCCTCATCAAGCACAGGCCATGGTGACGAAGACGAACCAGCCGTAGGACCCCGACCAGCAGGAAGGGGTTCCTCACGAGATCGGCGAACCGGTCCTTGGCCCTGGCGCACAAATTCTTCGTCCGTGAGGATGGGCCCATAATGATGCGTATCTTCCTCCGCGGTCATCTCCAAACCGTCGAAGGACCAAGGCGAGGGCGGTCCCGCAGCGCATGAGCTCATATTGTGTACATCTTCTCCCATGACCTCTAATTCCACGTCCGTAGGTATAGGCAACCCGTCACCATCCACGCTGTAGCTGGAGTTGTTTGGAAAGGGCTCGCCAGAGGTGAATGTGCCCGCCACCGCGCCCAGCCGCGGAGATCGCTGATGGTGAAGATGAGGAAGCAGTGCAGGCAGCTCACTACGTGGCCGATCTGCTCGAGCCTGCACGAATAGGCGGCGTTCTTCTGGCGGCATGCTGGCGCCATTGGCCTGCCAGCCCAATTGGCGAAGGTGTTGTATGCCTCGCTGTCGTAATTGTCTGATCCTCAGATTGTCATGCATGCGCCACTGTTCAGAACGGAAGGCACAATAGGCCTCCCTATGCTGAGCGCTGTCATACCATCCACGGAGACAGATCTCAGTAGCAATTTCCCAGCGTGCAGCTTGGCCCGAGGCAGTTCCCACTGGACATCTCGGCAGATTTCGAAACCCTTCATATCTCAGAAAATCGGAGAGATAATCCACGCACCAATCCATCCACTGCTGAAAGTCGCTACCCGTCGAGTCGATGACAGTGGAGGGAACCCATAGCTTTGCCCAGACAGCAACACGATCAACCAATGCACGAAACATCGCATGAGCTTGAACTCGGCCAGGAGGGGGCGACGGGGGTCCGCAACGATAGGGGCGATCACTTCCATTGATCATAATCGTCTCACCCCAAGTCATGGGCGAGGACCTGTCTCCTTGCTGCCAGGAACCTCTAGAACCCTTTGCCGAGGGAACCATTGCCGAAGAAGAACATGTTCTTGCCCGCGGTGCTCAATAGCCTGTAGTCGAAGTATTTCGCTAGTCCAAGAACTGGTCAAGTGTCCCAAGAGCCGCTCCCTCGAGCGCGCTGTATTGCGCCAAGAGATATGAGCAATGCACACCCCAAGCTCGTAACGGTCATGACGATCCGCCTGCGGGACAGGAAACACACCTTGAAAGATCCTGACGCCCAGGGTGAGGGCAACCTGATTCGGGCACCACTCCATCCAATCGTCGAAGTCCGAGCGGTCTGCGGCGTGCAGAAAAACAGACGGGATCCAATTACGTGCCCACGACGCCGTACGACGTAACAGAGCAGTTAGAAGATTAGCCATGCCAGGGTAAACTCCGTATAATGGTGGCAGGCCGTATTGGTGTTCCCCGACCGCTTGTGGGTAGCGCACTCGATGAGGAAGGCAATCATGAAGCATAGCCTGACCCAGGGGAAGCCCTCGAAGGAGCGCATCATGGAGTGCCAAGCTGGGACCAGTCGTTCTCATCCCCTGCCCACGCTGCACTTCAGCCGCCGACGCAGGAACAGCGCGGAGCTGCTCAGGAGCAGAAGACCATCCAGCATGCGGTTTAGCCAATGCCCGAGTGCGTAAGGCACCACGAGCAGCAGCGATCAGATCATCTGGTGGCACGTGGTCACGGTGGCGCACATCGTGGTAAATAACTGTCGCTAGCTGCATGTTGACCAGATTGTCGTCACTCGGATCACTGAGCCCCCAACGCGTTAGGACTTGTCCAGGAAGGAATCGTCGCCCACCTGGCTTCGCCATCGCAATGCCCCAGGCGAGCCCACGGCACTGTAGGTAGTGTCCGGTCTCATCGAAACAACCTTCGCAGCCGAAGATGCACTTTCTTTGCCCACTAGCAGACGAGATGCGCGAGGACGTCAGCCAACCTCCCACGTAGCCGCGCAAAATCGCCGAGGCCCAAGCCATAGGGTATGCACAAAGCTTTCTGTGCAATCTCAGCCAATCAATCTGGTCCAATTGTCTCGCAAGTGACGGAAACCATTTGACCCACCGCCTTGATATGGTGGCGACTAGAGGTGACTGTTCCCTCCCAGGAACGCTGAACCTGGAAACGAAGGCTGACATGCTGGCATTGTACGCGATCCGCTGGACACCTTTAGTAGCACCAGGATGTTCGGCTATATGCGCCCGAGCTGCCACCGCCGAAGGGGAAGACGAAGAACAAGCCGCATCCAGTGTCTCTACAATTGATGGCATGATCCAGAAGGAGGGCGATAGGCGGCCTGAAAGGTCACTCAGTCGACGATGAACAAACCACCGTTCAGACGCACGCCGAAAGAGCCGCAGATAATCTTGGTGCTTGGGATGCGTAGATAGCCCAGAACGAAAAAGAGCAGCTTCTGACATCGCGACAATATTGTGGAGCTTAGGCCCGCCCCAGTCCTTCAGCGCGAAGAAGTCAACCAGTCTTCAAGGCACCGCCAAGGAAGCGTAAAAGACGAA